ATATATGTATTTGTTCGAGGATTTGAATTTTGAGTTGAAATTTGAAAGATAAAAATTTTGAATTTGAATAATGGTACGATATGATATAAATATGCGTTAGATGTGATATTTTGAATATAAAATTAATTTTTAATATAATATAAAATTATTTAATTTAATATTTTTAAGATAAAAAAAATTGATAAATAATACTCCATCCGTCCCACATACCGTGTCTGCTACATGCTACACTGCAAACACGATATTTTAGGAGGGATGTAATTAGTAGATAATTAAAAATGTATTAGTGAAAATAATTATTTTATAATATAAATAATTGTAAATTAAGATTAAGATAACTAATTAGTTTAATTAAAATTGAAAAAATAAAATAAATTAAAAAATTTAAAATGAGATTAAAGTGTATAATCATTTTCCAAAAAAAAAGTGACATGGAATGTGGAACGGACAGAAACGGCAACATAGACATGGTACGTGGGACCGATATATTTTTTGAAAAATTCCATAAACGAACTCACCCTTAAAAATATGCATATATATATATATACTTATATATATTACTCTCAATAATGTTCATTTTTGTGTTCTTTACTAAATTTATACATAATATATTTATATAAAAAAATTTAATTATTCAAATAATTGTATTATTTTAACAAATAATAATATATTTGTTCTTATCGTTTTACTTACTCTAATTTCTTTTTAAAAAAATTAATATATATATTTTTATAATACTTTAACTTTTACATCATTTTTTAATTTTTATGTCTAAATAAAGTAGCATAATTTAATGACTATCGTCTTTATTCAAACTCTAAATCCGCATCTTCTATTATTCTCTTTATAATTTCGTTAATTGTTTATCAGTTATTAATTTCTTCGATAAAATTATTGAAATGATCTGATCCAATACAATTTTAAATCGGGCCATGCTCAAGTTAAAATTTTTTAACTCAATTTAAAACGGTACCGGGCTTATCCAACCTTATTTTAGCATCATAATTAATACCGGGCCGGCCCGATTTTACCGGCATTTTTGAAAGCTAAAAAATTATTTCAACATACGACTTTTTAAGCAGTGTCGCATTTGTATTTATGATGCAACCCACGCTTTTTGACTTAGACTAAACATATCACTTACATTATTAATTTTCGACCTCTTTACTTATAATTTGGTACTCCCTCCATCCCATCTAATATGGGTCTATTACTGTAGATACGAGAATTCAGATAAAGTATAATTAGTAAACAATTAAGAAATATATTAGTAAAAATAATTATTATTTAGTAAAAATAATTATAAATGAAGATTAAGATAACTAAATAATTTAATTAAGATTAAAAAAATTTAAATTTAAATTTTAAAATATGATTAAAGTGTATAATTAACTTTCCAAAAAAGAAAATGACAAATTATATGGGACGGACGAAAATAGAAAATAGGGACAAATTATGTGGGACGGAGAGAGTATTATTTTAATATTATTAATTTTATTTAATAAAATAAATAAATAAAATTAATAACAATTTTTTTTTTTTTTTTACATATTTCTTAATTTATATCATTCATCATTACACTTATTAAAAAAATTTATGTGATACTCCTAAGTTGGATTAATAGTATGAGTCGGTGTTAAACAATCATATATCAGTCTCTGGTGTGATGAAATTACTAATGTCAATAATTTTTTATTGTTTTTAGTTTTAAATATTTTGTAAAATGAAAACAATGCATTTAAAAATTATTTTTTTACCACCATTCTTAAGCCATTTTTAATCCATCAAATCTATTCATGCAATTTTAACTTTAAAAAATACAATTGTTACAATATTTTTACTTAAATTCACAATTCTAACTTTTACTAAAAAAAAAAAAAATTCAAATATTATAGTATTTTATATATTATTTGAAACTATTTTTATATTTATAATTAATATTATTTTTATATAAATAAAAAAAAACGCCAAATTTTGGCATCAAACTTGGCGTATTCCAACTGACACGCTAAATCTCCAATGGTCCTAGGTTGAAAATGCCCTTAGTATTTCATCTGTCCAATAAGAAGGGTGATATTTTTTATTTTTGTCATCCCAAAACAACTGTGTCGTTTGTTAATTTAGTAATTGTATTACCTATATAACATAATAAATATTTTTACAATTTATAAAATATTATACAAATATAATTATTTTTATATTATAAAATATTAATAAAAATATTTATATTTTTTATTTATTATAAATCAATATAATACCAATATTAACAAAATAATATACAGAAAGCAAATAACAATTTATTTATTTATTTAAACAGATGAAGTATTATTATTTATTATTGCACATAAATATTGGTTGACCGAGAAAAGTCAAAGTCCGTGGATCGTGAACCATGCACGATGCACCATAAAATAATAAATAAATCTTCTAGAAATTTAAGACCATTATAGGTTCAAAATTAAATCAGCCAATGATTCTCGGAGTGACTCATGATATATACTACTTTATCAAAATTTCAAGGCACGAGTTTAGAAATTTTAAATTTAATTGAAAATAATTATAAAAAATAGATAATATACATTTAATATAATATTTTATAGGATAAATCAGTTATTTATATTAAAATATATATTTTGTATGTGATTTCTTTTTTAAAATAAATAATAATAGAGTATTATAAAAATAAACTTAGAAACTTACGTTTTCTTTTATTTTGTAAGATATTGAAATAATATATAAATAGTATAATTATTAATTATTATAATTGATGTGATTTAGAAAGTTTGTATCATTTTGTTTCGTTATATAGAAATTATGCATTATATCTTGTATTTGCCAAAAAATTATATAAAACACTTCCATCGAAAGATGTTGCAATTAGTGAGACCATTAGAAGAGAAAAAATTAAAATGCATATTTAATTCGAGACATATTCTTAAGATTCGCTAACACATTAATATATTTACTAAAATACATTAGATATAAATTTACAATACACATATAAAATAACAGTTACAACACGCCGGTGATACTTTGCATATATAATGTATTGTCTGTTATATTTTTATATGTCATTTATAGTATTTTTATGTGCTTATTGGGACAATCAATATGGTGTTAATAAATCTTCAATCAACACTTAAACCGGAACGATTCAATATATATTTTAAGTGTAATAATCTAAAAACTTAAACTATCAATTTCTACCTAACAAAATATTTTGGTGGAAGAAGACTTATAAATTATGGATACTAGAATGATCGCTCATAATGTGAATCATATATCATTAACATAAAGGAGAAAAATAATTATCCTAAAAGAACTTTAACATATAAATATAGTAAAATTATATGGAATAAGAGTGAAAATAATAATAATAATAATAATAATAAAATAGATGAAATTTGTTTTAAACCACAGAGGGTGTGCAATATTATAAATTTTGTAGAAAAACAACAATGCACACAAATATAGTTGACGCAAATATAGTTGAGTGAGCAAAGCCCACACTCATTCAAGCATTTATGTCAAATATCTAGTGTACGTGTTGGTTTTTTTTGGTATCCATACACTGAAACCCAAACCCAAATACGTGTAACTCGACCCGTAACCCATTTATCCAAAATAGATTCAGTCCATCTATTTAATTAGGGTTAATCTGAGTCATTGATTTCTTTGACATATATATATGTGCTGTGGGTTGAGAAGATCATTATCATTCATTCACGCGATACAACAATCCTAATCTCTCTTCTCCTTCATCGTGATTTCTCACGAGCTCACCTGTGAATCGATTCTTGAGGTTTTCCGGCGTGCCTCTGTCGACCGGTGTCTTCCTAGTCCGACGAGCTTTCTTTGAAGCAGTGTAAGTTGTCATAGATTTAGTCGCAAATAAACATTCGCGTGTTCTTTCTTTTGCCCCGTCGGTGAATATTTTGAGTCTGTGATGAGTGTGAGTTGTTGGCTACCTAGTTTGGGTTTGGCTCCTTGTTTCTTGGGTTGGTCACTGTTTTTGATTGGGTTTGTGAAGGACATGAGATTTATTTGTAATAAACTTGTTTTATTTGAAGTATATGATGTGTAATTCATAGAATCGTGTTGTTTGTTGTCGATTCGGATTAGAATTGTTAATTTTTTGGGCGAATCTTTGATTTCAGTTCTAAGTTGTTTTCTTACGGTACGAATATTATAAACCAAAACAAAAAACTGATTTATGATTTTAAAGGATCTAAAAATCATTTGTAACATATGAATCAACTAGAAAAATACCGCGCTCACTTTGGAACATCTTTTAATTAAGACGAAGCTCAACCAGAGCACAAAATAGAATAAGATATACAACTATGAGAGGTGATTAATGCGACAACCAACAATATATGAGTGTTTTCCTCAACCTTGTACACAAAGAGCATCAATCGAACCATAAAATCACATCAAATTCAGTGAATTACCTACGGAAGAGATAGGAGTGAGAGCAATAACAATGGCAGAGTGTATGAATTCAAATAATCTTTTTGTTGATTTTTTTAGAGATTATTGTTGTTTCTTTAAAAAAAAAAAAAATTGAAATGTATAAATCATATATTGAGTGATAAAATCATAAAGTGATTTATATTATTACGTTTATATTTGCATCATATTAATTGTTGCCAAAATATAGAGAGGTTATGATTTTAGATTCGAAAAAAAAAAATCGGTAATCTATTTGATGGACAACATACCATGAATTTTAAAGATGGATAATATTGCATTTTACTTGGTTGTACTACACTAAACAAATACCATACGAATTCCGTCAGAGATTTGAACCCATAAACACGCACGATTTTGTCAAAATTGGAATTGGGTTTAGGTTCCGGTCGGATGGGTCTGGTCGAACCGAAAATAAAATTGAACAAATTATATTTAAAATTATTTATAATTTAAATTTAAATATATTATATTTATTTTATGAGTATTTAATAAAACCGGTCATACAATCGGTTACCAGTTAGTTACAAAAATTCTAAGGTATTAAATGTTCAATTTGATTTTGTCCTTAGTCCTTACTCTTCTTATCTGTTATCCATTGTAATTTAAGTCGCACTTTCTACTCTAAATAAATAAAAGTTATATATATACATATCTTACTTCATTATGCTAATTGAGAAAAACGAATTATGGAAGATGGAAATGAAGAAGAAGAAGAAATCGCAGAACCTGAGTATTTCCTGTGTCCGATTTCTCTCCAGATCATGAAGGATCCGGTAACCACCGTCGCCGGAATCACCTACGATCGGAAAAGCATAGAGCAGTGGTTGGGGACGACGGCGGCGGATGAAGGCGGCGGCGTATGTCCAGTGACGAAGCAGGCGATTTCCAGAGGATCGGACTTGACGCCGAACCACATGCTTCGGAAGCTGATTCAGGCATGGTGCATTGCGAATGGCAAGGCTGGGATTGAGATTGATCCTCCGCCAAAATCTCCAGTGCAGAGGTCTCTTATCCTGAAATTGATTCGCGATGTGAATGGTAGGTGTGATGATTTGATTAAATTCAGTGCTCTGAAGAAATTGGATGAATTGGCGATGGCGAGTGAGAGAAAGAGTGGTGGAGAAGACCTGAAGGTAATGGTGGAGGCTGGAGTGGCCAAAGCGATGGTTGCGTTTGTTTCTAGAAGCTTCCAGGATGGGAAAATCCTTGCCGTTGATCTCGCCGTGAGGATTCTCCGGCGAACGTGGACTCCGACGGCGGAGATTGTTGGTGAAGACGTAGCTACGTTCATTCAAGCAATTCTGTGGATTTTGAACACCGGAATTGAAAATCAGGCGAAAATCCTCGCCGTAATTGTTCTAAAAAACGTAACGGAAATTGCGAATTCGAACCTTCTGGAGAGATTCGAGCCGTATTTCTTCACCGAAACGGTTCTCCTTCTGAGGAAGAACATATCGCCGGCGGCGACGCGAGCGACGCTTCAAATTCTGATAAAAGCCTGCGAATCAGGGAGGAACAAGGTGAAAACCGTCGAAGCAGGAGCAGTTTTCGATCTAATCGAAATCGAAATAGGCAAACCTGAGAGGAAGACGACGGAGCTAATCTTCAGCCTCCTCGCGATTCTCTGTTCCTGCGCCGACGGTCGGCATCAGCTACTGAAGCACGCCGGAGGCATAGCGGTGGCGGCGAAGAGGCTGCTGAGGGTGTCGCCCTCGGCGGATGATCGGATACTGTGCGTTCTGGAGTGGATCGCGCGGCGCTCCGCCACGAGAGAGGTGGTTCTGGAGATGCTCCGCGTGGGCGGCGTGACGAAGCTCTGTATGGTGCTTCAGGCGGACTGCGCCGAGTATTTGAAGACGAAAGCCAGGGCGATTTTGCGGTTGCATTCCGGCGCGTGGGGCAACTCGCCATGTATACAGGTGTATCTCCTTACGAGGGACCCTAGATGACTATGGAAAATCCGGGATCTCAAGATCCAGGTAAATCCTGATCGTTGATTTATAATAGCGTGTGTCGTTTGATATCTGTGATGTCTGGTGCTCGGGTGCTGTGATCCAGGACTAGCATCAATAAATCATGAGTGTTTTTCTCTGTTTTTTCAATATACTTTTAAATTAGGATTTTTAAAAATAATATTCCCTCACATCCATAACAGTATCATTTTTCTATTTTAGTTCGACACAAAGTATCCATTTCTTTTTTTAATAACTATACTATCTACCTAATATTACAAATATCTTTACAATTTACAGTATATTACACAAATATCATTACATTTATATCACAAATACTAATAAGGTTATTTTAGTCATTTCTATTTTATTCATGCTATGTCTCAATATAATACTAATATTTCTAAAACTACATGCAAAAAACAAATGAATATTTAATTTCGGAACGAAGGAAATAAATAACAACGCAATATTTTATACAAAAATCAAAATACTTATTATAAAAGTCAAAAAATTATTAGAAAAAATTAAAAAAAATATATTTAATTTAATAGAATATATTTTATATTTTTTTACATAAATTCCAATATTATACACAAAAAATTCTTTCATTGAAATTTGCTAGTTGAACGAAGCCATTGATTTTTGCTCGATTGAGACTTTTTTATTTTAAGGTGTATAAATAGTACAAAAATAAAAGGATAAATTATATAATTTCCTAGTAAAAATATATATAAAACATCTAATATAAATATTAACATATTATATAATATTAATTATTTTTATATTATTTACATAATTTTTTATAACTCATAATATTTTTATTTTTTTATTCAAATCAAAATACAAAGCAAACAAACCTATATAATCTTTTTTTTTAAATAAAAAATATATTCACTTTAGCCCCACTCAAATTTACTATTTTAAAATTTATGTAATAAATTAAAAAATAATAATATTTATTAGTTAGTAAAAATATATACTAATATATTTTGATATTAATGATATATAACTATTTTTATTAAAATAAGAAATAAATAATTTTTAATAAATTAAAGAATATTAATTTTTAATAAAATATAATAATATTAAATTATTATGTAAATCAAAATTTACATAAAAATATAAATTTAAACAAAAATAATTTTCTTCCTAATACATATTCTATTTACTCGTAAACCATATAAATTTTCATATCACTTACATAAAACAAATATCTTAAACGGAAATAGAACTCAAATACATTTGAATAAACCGGTAATGTAAATGAAATTTTGTGGAAAAACGTGAGAATAAAAATAAAAACGAATGACGCTTTTAAGACAAAAAGTTAAAAAACGAAAAACGTAGAAGGCAGAAATGCGAGAATAGAGGAGCCGCGAAACTAAGCGGACGCCAAACGGTACACTTAACGGAGTTTAATAACTCTGTCACGTCCGGAGACACACCTGTCACGCTCTTCACCTCACCTCTCATAAAAAATATATATATGCGTAGGTGCATTAAATAAATGCACCCTTATTTACAAACTCCAATTTGGAAATTCTGCTCTCGATTTTCCCGATAATTGCTCTGAAATTGAGTTGCAGGGAAGGAAAATGGCTGCAGAAGAAGATAGTAAGAAGGACGACGGAGTCTCGATCGAGCTTCCTGCTCCAGCTGGTTGGGTTAAGAAGGTGTGTTCTTTGCTCGAATTTTTTGTTTCTGTTGTTCTTCATATATGTAAGATTTGCGGTAATTAATTTTGTTTATTTTGCTTGTAAGTGTGTGGAGCGCGGCGTTTAGTGTTTGAATTTTGGAGTAGGTTAGGGAATTTATCTGGTTTGGGTGTTTGTGGAGTGTGAATTGACCTTCGGCGAAAACCTAGCTCGAAATTTACCCTTTTTAGCATTTTTGGAATGGATATTTGGTAGGGTGTGCAACTTTGCTGTAATGCCTATAGAAATTAGGAAATTGGATGCGAATTTGAAGTTTTGGTGATGGCAATGCGGTTTTATGTTGAATTTATCATTTCCCTCAAATGGATTGAAATAATGAAGAATCTCTGCGCTCAATTGATCACTGTTTACTAAAATTAGCTTGCCCTTTTGAAATTATGATACTTAATGGCTGTTTTATTTGCAAATCATAACGGTTAACAGTGCGTTTTTTAGGGTTGGAAGTGATTTAGATGCATTTTTAGTCATTTTCCCCTTTCCGCTCCTGCCTATTTGCTTGTGTTGTGTTAGGAAATTGATATTGATTTGAAAGAGTCAGTTTTGGAGTAAATTATTGCCATTGTCCTGTAAAAAGGGTGGCTTGGGATTCACTCTTGTGCTTCCTGTCCCTTTGATTGTGTTATTCTTGTATTCGAAAGGATCATTTTCCAGTCATCCAATTATGGAAACCATTTTAGTAATCTTATTTTCTATTTTTAACTTTTGAGTTTTGCCTTGGGAACTATTCTTGTGATCCCTGTTCATTGTTTTCATGGGGTTGTGCTTTTTGCATCTTGGTTGATTATAGTTGCAGAAATAACCTTGAGCCACTACACGTATTGAGCATCTTTACTTGCTGTTTTGATTACTGTCTATTTCTTTTTATCACTGATCATTGTATTTTATGGTTTTGTTGATGTGTTATGCATACAAGTTCACTGGGATTATTGTAGTTGCATGAGTACAAAGTAAGCTTCAAAGGGATTTACTAGAAAAAAGGGATGATTTTTAATGTCCAAATCAAGAACTAGCGGGATTACAATAAATTGTTTCAGTAGAGTGTTTATCGAATGGATAAGTATTAGTAGATGGTAGATGATGAGATTCAGGGTTTAATGATGAATAGAGGATATGTGGAAGACATGCCAAAGTAGTTAGGGTGGTTGAAATTATAGGTCAAAGTAGTTACATGGAATTATAGGCTAGAATGAATTTTGTTAGTGTTCAATTCTGTAGAAACTAAGAGTGTGTTTGTTTTGGGTTTTGAATAGTAAAAATTTTAATTTGAATATGTCATATTTTTTAATATGAAATTGATTTTTAGTATAACATCAAAAATGAAAATTAGGGTTGGTTTTTTTTTTTTTTTTTCTCTCTCTATTCATCAATTTTTTTCCCTTCAAGAATATTAAATCAAACCTCTTTTTTTATATTAAGAAAAAAAAAATTACATTTAAAATATCATATTGTTTATATCATATCAACAATTATTCCAATTCAAAATTTTATTATTATAAACCCGAACTCTCAAATAGACACGCTAGAAATATTGATGATGTGATGTTTAGAATTTCATGCTAGAATGAATTTTGTTGGAGTTCAATTATATCAAAACTAAGGGTGTGTTTCTTTTGTATTTTGTATAATAAAAATTTTGAATATGAATTAGGTATTGATGTCATGTTTTGAATGTCAAATTGATTTATAGTATAATATAAAAAAATTGAAAAATAGGGTTGTGTTTGTTTGGAGGGTTTTTTTTTTTTTTTTTTTTCTCTTTCACTATTCATTAATTTTTTTTTCCTAAAAAAATATCAAATTAAACACCAATTTTTATATTTCTGTTATACAACAAAAAAATCAATTTTACATTTAAATATCATATCATAGCAACACTTTATTTATAGCATATCAAACAATCATTCCAGTTTAAAATTTTTTCATTTAAAACCCAAACTCCCAAACAGACTCTAAAGTTGAGATGTTTTGGGAGGAGGAGGAGGAGGGAATAGTAAAGATTCTTTTAAAAAATCCCAATCAAGCACACCCTAAGGATTTAGCATATGGCCAATCGAATTAATAGAAGACTTGATTCTAATGGAATAAGCCCAAACAATTACCACTTATGGTTTTTCTTTTTTTTTAACAGATCACACTCCAGTGTCTCCACCAAACAAAATTTTATATTTTTTACAAGTTAACTATCACAAGATGGTTATTTTGGAAATTTAATTTAGAATCAATGCCATTTATGCTGGACATAAATTCAGGATTTGTCTAAATACATGTAAGTTTAGGAGAGAATACATGAGCTATAAACTTAGGTATGATTCCAATATTTTGATGCGGATGTTACCGTTCCTTGTGATGGTTGGTTTATCTCAATTTCCATTTTCGAGGCCTTCCCACCAAACATGAAACTCGGTAGGTGTTGAAATCCTAATCAGCTATCTGCAATTTAAAGTAATTAAGGGATTGAATTTGAACTGAACTGTCTTCCCTGAATCTTGTATTTTTGGTCATTTTATTCTCAAGTCCCAATTAATTAGAAGTTTAAGACTTGAATACGATACTATATGCCTAGCGTGGCTGAATAGTCTTACAAAAGCAGTGACAGTGTGTGTCCTTTTTCCATGCATTTTTTCCGATGGACTCCTTCAAATGCTTTGTTAATGAACCTCTTGACCCTTCTAGAATTTATCGATGAACTTTACAAGATTTTTTCCTTCTGCTCCTACATCTGTAAGCTTTTCTGTTTCTGTACCTGTTTGGATCAATCATCAGGTTACTCCGAAGAAAGGCGGGACCCCTCAGAGAAATGACATTCTTTTCATATCCCCCACCGGAGAGGAAATCAAAACGAAGAGACAGTTAGAGCAGTACCTCAAATCTCACCCTGGAGGGCCAGCTGCTTCCGAATTTGAGTGGGCTACAGGTACTCCCCCCCCCCCCCCCCCCCCTTCGGATCATTCATGTCCTGAGGAACATCAAACTCGAGCTAAATGAGAAATATCTTACTCAGGTGACACACCTCGGCGATCTGCAAGATTAAGTGAGAAATCAAAAGCTGTAGAAACAGCTGCGACGCAGTCCCCCACAAAAAAACAAAAGCGATCCGCCACAAAGCGGGGAGGAGCCAACGAAAAGAGCAATGCTACAACAGATGGCGAAGCTGCAGTCGAGAAGGAAACTAAAGAAAGCAACGACATTCCAATTACAGACACAAAGGAAGACGAAGGAACAGACAAAACCAATCCCCCCCAACCCCAACCCCAACCCCTCCCCGAAAACACAAACAATGAAGAAAATTCCAACACCAAGGAATCCATCGAAGCAGCCACTGATTCAGCTGCAAATGCAAAAACTGACGAATCTAAGGAGACAGCTACTCAGAATGACGAGCCCCAGAATGAGGGAAAAGAAACTCCAAGTGAAAACCCGGTCGAGAAGGAGCCTTCTTTGCAAGAGCCACCTACAGGTAGCTAAGTTAAATTGCTGCATCTAGTTAAATATTTTTTTGCTAGGGTCGTAATACATATATATATATATATTGTTACGTGGTGGGTGGCAGACGAGTATCATCAACGAGCGTTCTAACATGTTTCTACTCTAGAAATAACTGCTAGGAATGAGTATATTCTTGGAACAATTGAGATATGTTTAAAAATGTCGGGAAACTTGGAACCGAGACCTCCAAGAGATTATAGATTGTTGTTCTATCTCTTGATGTTGATCTCTACTGTTGTTATTCCGGGAATATATATGGTTATGTGTCTTTTTAGTGATGAAGAAGAACTACATTTGATGTATAATGTTAATGTATATTGGATATGATTATTGAGGATGATGATGATAGCTTTGATGATCTTATCTCTACCCCTCTCTCTCTCTCTCTCTCTCTCTGCTGTTAGTTATTTTTCATTTTTACCTTTGATTTGTCTGTTTACATTGTGTTATATGCATATATATATATATATATATTTATTGAAATTTGTGTGAGTTATGTCCTTTTGTCCGACTGTTAGGCCCATCCTGGGCGGGCTATGGAAAATAATAAAAAAATATATTGAATTGGAATTGACTATAAAGAGGGACGATTAAGTTATATTCGTATTTGATATATGAATAGAATTGAATAAATATTCGAAATCGTATTTGAATCGAAAATTTTAGTGAACTATACAATATTTGTAAATAATTAGAATCGGAGCGAAATTATTAAAAAATAGTTCAAATTTTAATTAAATAAAATATTTTTAGATATTTTAAAATTTTAAATCGAAATTGAATCGAATATAATAATTAATATAAATATACTCGGTGAATCGAAAAAATATCAAAAACTGATATTGAATCGAACAAATATTAATTATGCAGTATTTGTATTCGAATCGAATTTGTTGGATTAACCGATAATTCAATTCGATTCAATTAAAAGTTGACTGTTTAGTCCGATTTTTTTACCCACCCAAAATAATAAGTTGTAACACCCATTGTATATTTTTTTTATCATTTACTCCCTCCGTCCCATATACAGTGTGTAATTATTTTTAAAAAAAATGAAAGTGACATGCAATGTGGGAGGGATAGAAGCGAGAATGTAGACATGTACGTGGGACGGAGGGAGTAATATACAAGCTTAGGATATCCTTGCAACAAAAATATTTACTTAAACAAATTTATATTATAATTATATAAATATTTTAATATAGTTTAATAATATTTTGTACGTATTAAATAAATTCAGATTCTAAAATAAATTTTACTGCTTTGTTCAACTTTAATCCTTTATTCCAGCTCTTTTTATCAATGGAAGTGGTCCCACTGAAATTCCGACTTTACCCCTCAGCGGCGGTGTTTTAACCGAACCAACGGCAAAATTGACTCTCATTGCCACAAAGTGGAAACTTCCAAATTATTCTGCACGCTCTTCTTTAGCTTTGCTTAAAGTCGCACGCTTTGGATCCCATAATTCTTCGCCGTCGTCGTTTTCCCCGACGAATGCAATCCGCAGCCAACTATGGGGGATGATAATTTGATGCTGAAGATCAGGATGCTGCTTCTGGCCTGGTTTCACTTCCGATTGTACCACGGTGAGTTCGCAATTTTGTAAATATTTTATTTCGGTGTTGCGTTGGGGAATTTGATGGATTGTGGAACTTTTGTGAAGAGATTGATTGTTAGTCACTCGTTTCGTTGAATTGTGTGGAATTTTTGGTGGATTTGGAGGTAGAATTGGAATGTGATTTCATACGGGAGTTAATTTGGGGGTGATTGAGGTCGCTTTGAAGCAGTTTAATGAAGATGATGCATATGTTGCTGTAGTGTTTCTTTTTATAAAAAATAAAAAATAAAATCGAGGAGTTGCCATTGGAGCATGGTGATTGAGGATTTTGTTACAGGAGAAAGGACTTTTGAATGTCTAATTGATTGTTTACATAAAAAAAAAAAAAAAACACGTATTAGATGTGATATTTTCGAAGGTAGAATGCATTGTAGATTGAATACTGCTAAGATAAAAATGAAAACACAATTAATCAAAAGTTTTGCGGGGGCTTCTTTTCCTAAAAATTAGCACTCATGAAATTGAAACTAAAAGTATGACGAATGATGGCTGTTCGGCCAACTCTGGTTTCAGCAGGAAATAGGTGGGAATGAGTAAACAACTCAAGTTTCATGGTTAATTTTGTTAGAGGATTTAGGGTGAATGTAAAGGAGTTAGAAATCAATGTCAATTTGCTTTCCTGCTGAATTCCTAAATATCTGGACAAGAAATGTTTAATTATTTCTTGAATGTAGAATAATTATCAAGGTATATTCGAGGCATAGTATACAGCAATTTTCATGAATTGTTAATGATAGATGATGTTTACCATATTTTATAGTAAGCGCATATAGTATTGAACTTGTTTTTGTTTCAGAGAAAGGCCTTCCACTCATTGTGAAACGCTTCTCGTACAAAGATATAAAGAAAGCTACTGATGGATTTAAAAGAATTATTAACAACTCTTCTCAGGGGACTTCGTACAAGGCCAAGTTTCAAAATGGCAGTGTTGCTACTGTAAAAGAAGTCAAACTTCCCGATGAAGATGATGATTCCTTCATTCGAGAAGTTCAACTTTTGGGACGCCTGCATCATCGTCATATTCTTGCAGTTTGTGGATATTCTACTGGATCTAAGAGGTATCGTACATCTTGTAACTCTTTTTTTCATTTTTTTTAAGTTTCTAATAAATTGCTGTTTCCAAAATATTCTTCTTGGCTATACTTATTATCGATTATATATCCTATTGTTTTGCCTTTGTGACTCTACTTTGTATTATTTAGAGTTAGAATGGCTGGTTATAGATTCTACTTTTTGATGCAATTTTTTGGTGTAAACGATTACGAATTACTATTTTGCGATCATATTTGTCTTCTTTTGCTGTTTATCCTCTTTTAATGGATTCTCTATGGTCCGTATTACTGTTTCATTGAAACTCTGTTAAAAATAAATTTGCATATTTTGAGTCTGAACTTGCCTTTACAAGATATACCATCCATAATCCAGTGGTGAACACAATTAGATATGTCAGAATTAGAAAATCGACTTAATTAGCACTTAATGTGGAAATTTGTTGCTTTGTCTATCCTAAATGCCGATGAACATGAGATTCTTAGTCTTCTATAACTTCTTCACATTTTCAGGTTTCTAGTGTTTGAGAACATGGAAAACGGAAGCCTAAAGGAGCATTTATCCGGTAATTCTTAAGTAGTAGTATTATTTGCTGCCTCCACGGTTTTTCAGCATCAATCCTTTTCTTCAGATCCTTTGAGGACTCCCTTGAACTGGAGAACGAGGTTGCAGATAGCAATCGGCATAGCTGCTGCTGTGGTTAGATAAATTTATTACATCTCCAACCTCCATACCCTCTTCAATACATTGTGATCCTCTTCCAGTACTCATTTCATGCAAGAATTCTAACTACATCATTGTCCTAAATCGATTATGCTTGCTTGTGAATTCACCCTTTTTGATCATTCTTGGAGACTAATTGCATGACTAATATCGTCGCAGGAATATTTGCATTTTTTCTGTGACCCACCCATCCATCAAGTCTCTTTAAGCTCAAGCTCCATACTGCTGGACGAAAATTTAATCCCGAAGGTAACTCCTTGAAAAACCATTTGATCGGTCACCTACAAGAGGAAAACTGAAACAACCTTTATACCTGCTACCATACAGATTTCAGACATTAGCTTGTTTAATGCTTCTGGCAATCAAATTACATCATTGCCAACCTCGTCTCATTGTTCCAAAGGTATTGTCTCGCCAAACACTTTTCCCCCGTTATTTGTTGCCTTACTTTGCGATACGAATATGGCTTTTTATTGTTGTAGAGTGCGCGGTGGAGGGCTGCAAGAACATCATATTCCAACTTGGTTTGGTGATCCTGGAGCTGATTACTGGTCAATCGGCAGAGAAAGGAGGTGTTGATTTGGTTCAATGGGTTCAAGAATCTCGATTTCCAGGATCCATACACAAGATGATCGATCCGGATCTTGGAAATAGCTATGATCAGAGGGAGTTGAAGGGCCTTCTTAGTGTTGCAAGATTGTGCATAAGATGTGTAGATAGGCAGAGCATATGCACCCCTCAAATTTTATGGTATTTGCAGAAAAAGATAGGGATCACTCGAAGATCAAGACCTAGTTAGTCCCATATCGATACCCCTGTTGTGTGTACAGAAAAGTTCGAGAGGTAAGAATCTCTTTTCCATATATTTATATTTTTACAAAGTTCAAACTGTTTACTCGGTTTTAGACAGAAATTTTTTAAGTTTTGAAAAAATTTCAAAATAGTAAAAAAAAATAGTATTTGATTTGATATTCTGTGAAAAATATCAAAACTTTCAAAATGTGTAAACAGAGACCGGTAGAGATCTTTATTACTATTAGTATTTGGATGTAGTTTGGAACTGTTTCTAAATTACATTTTTGTTGATTTGAATTTAAATTTAAATTTAAATTTGAACTATCCAAGGAAGAATTGGTTGAATAGCAATTGAAATGTAACATCCTTGTAACTAACTGTGTTTATTATTTGCAGATTTAATAATGTGGCAATGGTGAAATGGAGAGGGAGGGATTTGTTCCACTTTTTATTCAGATGGATTGCAGGTAACTTTCAGTTCTTTTTGCAGTATAAAATAAGAAATTTAAATATTGCAGATTGGTTTGTCATGAAATTTATTATGAAGGTAAATTGGTAATAATTTGAAGTTATGAAAAGGGCTATACTATCTGGTGATGAGAGTAGATCAAATCCAGAACTATAAAAATTCAAGTTAAAAGTTAATTATCTTAATATGTATTATTAAATAATATTATTATATGTATTTAACTTGTATACATCAGCATGGGTGCTGAGTTATTAAGTTCAGCACCAGCATGGGCTATAGGGGTTTTGTATTGAGATCAACAATAATCAATGCTCAATTATTTGATTCACAGGAATCAAAACATAAACTGGTCCCTCAAGTCCTTACCTAATAATAGAGAATCATTTATTATGAGCTTCATGTTAATATATATAGAGGAAAAGTATATGATGTATGTCTTTATAATAATATACATCGATTTGATCGAATCAACACCAAATTATTCATATATAATTTGTTGGATTTTGTTTTTGTTTTAGAAGAGTAAGATGAAATTAACATTTTATTTATGGGTTTTTTATTTTGTGTTTTAATTTTGAATTTTGGTGGCGTATAATGCTATAAATGTAATATTTTTCACTTTTTTATAATGAATCATGTATTATTATAGACAATATTGTATGATAAAAGAAAATTCAAACCAAATTTAAAGTAAACATTTGGGGGATATGGGAAATATAAATCAAAATGAGCTCAAGGCAAAGGTAAGAAAAAGAGATATATGCCTTTTTGTCTCTTTTGTTTAAAATTCGTTCTAACAAACACCACCACCACCATTCTACTTAGGCAAAATTAACAACAATACTCGTTGAACTTAGTTTACAGGCTATTAAGTTCAGTCGGAATTTACCCAAAGCACGCTCGTCGAGTAGCGGCTGCGGGTTTCCATTATCAAAATAATTAACCACATAAGTAGAAACCATGAATTTACAGAAAAATTAGATCCCACTTGTAAAACTCTTCAGGAGCAACTCAAGATGAATAATAGATTGGTAACAAAAAAAGTTCCCTCAAATCATCAAAGGCAACAGCACAACAAATTGTGTAGCCATTTATGCCTAGCCAAGAATAATGATTCTATTTCCCATACAAGATGATGATCCATCCTTAGATATGTACAAAATAAACTAGAGGGTCCAAAAACCACCCACCCACCCAACCTACCAACATTTCAGACCACTCATTTTGTTTTCGGGTGGTCGAATATGAGCCCGCCATGAGATGAGAGAATATGATGACTGAGGAATAGAGTATACCTCAAAAAGCACAGTTTTTGCACTGTGGGAAGGAATCCTAAACATTGTAACAGCTCCACAATTGCTTGAGCTGGTTTAAGGCTCCGTTTTCGGGTTCAAAAAGGTTTCGGAGCCTTCTTGCTACAACCCCCTCGGAGTTTACCTTGTCAATTTCTTCTTCTGATTCTGAAACGACGAAATAACAGCATAGTTAGTTAGATCATACTCCCTCTGTCTGGCTATCTTTGAATATTATTATTATATCAAAACATAGTACAAGAAAAAAAATTGCAAAATACTTCTATTAGTGTTTTATAATATTAATATAACGATATACAAATATAAAGATATTTTTAAAGTAAATACAATGACGTAAAAGGTAAATGTAGATAGTATTTATTTCATTCCAGCTTTAAATCTAGAGTCATGACTCATTCAATTAAGTGAGATGTCGTTTTGCACCCCTTTCCTATGAGTCGAACTTGTCGTTACCTAGAAATTATAGATTTGACCAACCGATCAAGTAAAAGCAAACACACACCCGCAAATTAGAACCCCGCGACCAAAAAACCAACACATTCATCTCACGGGATCCAATCCCAACCGAGCTAAATAAGAATCACGATAACATGGCCTAATGTTTACCAAAAACCACTTATCCCACAGATAGTAATTACAATAATCCGAAAATGACACTCCTAATAATGTCACACAAAGGTCTCATAAATGACCAGACCAAAAATTTCAGCAAGAATCCCCTCCCCCTATCCCCCACGTGATTTGAACATCTGCCCCAATTCAAATTAAAGAATACGTCCACATTAGGCTCACATCATTCCCCATCAAAATCATTCACGAGAAAAAATGTGATCTACGATCACGACTTCTCACTGCACAAGGATTTAGACCACAAGAAAAAGACACCAACCAAACCAGCTGTATGACCACACTCACATTTACGACGAACACCACACTCACTATCATCCCCAATCACCTACCTAGCTAACTCATCCAAGAAAAAACATTTTACTTTCTATGATTCGATTTGTTAAATATATAGATATGTTCATCTTAAGTGATAAAAGCCTTTGCTTTCTAATACTAAATTATCGAACAATACTACTAGTCTCAACTAAACTCAAACTAATAACAATAACAACAAAACAAAACCAACCATCTTTACTTACCATCAATGTCGATCGATGGATCGATCAATCCTTGAAGATAACCGAATCCGCCATCTCCATCAATGGATTCAAGCAATCCGGTGAGAACTTCCTCGCAAGCATGTACGAATAACTAGAATTTGATTCCCTAAGCTCGTAAATCAGCTTAGGGGACACCTCAATAGGGTGATAAGTGTGCGGATGACCGTCCACACTGTCGGTCCAATTCACCCTCGTCAAGGTGTATCGTGTACACGCCTCGGGATCCTGCATCGACAACAATGTAGGGAAATAATGCTCCTCTGGATAGCAAGATTGGATGTTGAAACAAGGAAGCTTGAATTTCTGCCATAGCTTCCGATCCTTGATAACCATCAATGAGTGCTTTCTGGTCATCACGAAGAACTGTGAACCTACTCGAAATTCGTCGAAACTGACCTCCGGAAGCATCACATTCTTCCCCCTAGCATTGTACCTGTCCCATAGGAATGGCTGATCGTCGAGGATCTCAATGTAACTAGGAAACTCCATAGCCTTGCCCAATCTGCGGAGGTCGAATAGGAAATTGTAGAAGTAATTGAAGGAGTGGAGGGGGATGCAGTGCTGGGAGATTAGGGCGAAGTAGGCGTTGGAGGGATCGTCGAGCATCGCCGTCGCGAGGAGGCGGCGCGCGGCGGAGATGAGAGTGGCGGAAGACCTTTGAGTTCGGCGGGAAGGAATGGATTTACCGGCGAACACGCCTTCGAATGGAGAGATTCTGACGAACGGATCGGCGTGGATGTAGATGTTGTAGTGGTGGCTACTGGCATTGGCGAAGAAGCGTTCCCATAGAGGAGCGAAGTGGAGATTCGAGTTCGTGAGGAACAGGAACGCGAGCTTAGGGCGGCGGACGGAGGCGGAGAATCGAGATCTGACGGAGGGGAGGCGACCGGAGCGAGGAGGAGCGGTTATGTCTCCGGAATCCGCGGCGATTGCTTTGTGGAAGAGGGAGAGATCGTCGAGCTCGTCGGTGTGGAGGATCGGAATCTGCTTCGGCGGAAGGATTCGGGGAGCTAAGAAGAAGAAGAGAATCGGCAAGGATATGAGGAGGATTAGGACCGGAATGATTGGGGTTGAGGAGGCGGAGATCGTAGCCATGGCAGTCCGTCACTGAGAGTTATTGAGAAAATTATACGTCAGTCGTGGCTGAGTTTATTGGAAGAGTAGATCGGAATCCATGGCGGGCGCCGCCGCCGGCGGTGGTGGAGCGGCGGAGAGTATTTTGGAGGAGGTGAGTGAGTGAAGAGGATGGAAGCACATAGGGAAAGAAGACGGAGGGGAAGTAGTTGAAGTGTAGATGGGATTAACGGCGTTACTGTTATCGTTAAGTTTTGTGAAAAGACGGTTTTGCCCTTGGACGTGTAGATGAGTGATTGAGTGAGAGGATAAGGGAAAGAGACGGTGGGGAAGTGTAGATGGGATTAACGGCGTTACTGTTATTGTTGTTTTATGTGAAAGGACGGTTTTGCCCTTGGGGGGGCTTGTGTGGTTGGGGTTGGTCGAATTTTGGTGGGGGGGGGGGGGGATAAAATTGATTTACTAATTCAGAAATTAATTTAAATTAATAAAATTTTAAAAAATTATGGTTGCTGAGGTAGGTTTGTTGTCTATTCTTTAGGGTGAGTTGTTTGATATTTGAATTTTGGGTTTGACTGTTGGGGGGATAGTGAAAATTTAGATGAAAGTAATATTATATGAGTAAATATTTTATATAATTTTTAGTTAGAAAATATTTTTTTTATAGTAAATTAAATAAAAAAAATACTTTGATTTAATACTTTTTAGGAATTAAGTTCAAACTTTAAATAAACATATAAGTCGAGCTCGATATTAAGATACTAACCCCATCCACTAAATAAATATTGGTATTTACTATTAGATAGATTTTCTTATTAAATAAGTATATATTAGTAATAAATTTTCTATAAAAAATAAATTGGCTATTTCAAGATATATTCCTTGTTGTAAATATATTTGTATGTAATGTATGAAATGAACACTAAATAAATATTGGTATTTAATAATAGGTAGATTTTCTTATTAAATAAGTATATTAGTAATAAATTTTCTATAAAAAAATAAATTAGCTATTTCAAGATGTATTAATTCCTTATTGTAAATATAATTGTATGTAATGTATGAAGTGATTGATAAAGTAAGAAGTTATATTTAAGGTTTGAATAATAAACTTTTGTCCTACAATAATGTTTGAGAAAACTTATGCATATGTATGTGATTTTGAGAGTTGAATTTGAAGTTTCAAATAATAAAACATTGAACGAAATAATTATTTAATATAATATAAATATAAATATATATTAATATAATATTTTAGATATAAAATTATTTTTTTATATAATATAAAAAAAAATTATAATTTTATTTCAATCTTGTGTTGAGGGATTAATAAGTTTTTATTTGCATTTTATTGTAAGAAATAAATGAAATTAAATTTTTGTTAGTAATTATTAAAAAAAATTAAAATGCTATTAAATATTTACTTTATTAGTATTAGATATTTTGTAAGAGAACTCATTACATAAAACCTACTATTATGCTAAATAAAAACATACAACTATATTTAATTTGACTATGATGACCATTTATCAGTTGCATTTATATTATATTAGCACAAACGGTTATAACTTACATAAAAAAAGTCAGATTTGAATCAATGACCTCATTGTTATAAGTTGATCACCAAGTCATCCCTTACATGTTCTTAAAAATGTATTATTGATGACCGAGTAGTGTGGGAGTAAGACTTAAGACAGTGAAGTCATATATTCAAATCTCCGACGTCTCCAGGTCACTTGTCACACATGGTTCGCCTAGTGTGACTTACTTTGTCGAGCCTAGTTTGCAGGATATTAAGTTCAACTGAAAGTTTACCCAGTACACACTTTAAAGTAGCGACTGCATATTCTCGTGTCATCAAGAAAAAAAAAAATGTATTATTAAAATTAATAGCAAACACACCCTTGGTAAGATAATTTCAGGTAGCAACCGCGAATTTTCATGTTATAAAAAATAAATAAATAAATAAAATGTATCATTAGAATTGATAGCAAACACACCCTCGGTAACATCGTGTTAGAAACCTACAATAGAGTAGAGCCCAGGAACTACAACTCGGCTCTTTCTAGTAACAATATATACATGCACACACACACACACGTGCGTGTGTGTGTGTTGAGTGGTAGGGATAACACAAGCTTAAGGCAGAAATTGAAGGAGAAGCCAACAATGGCTTCCCATCATCCCCCATTGATTAGTTTCGTTACGTTACGGTCGATAGCAGCGAGCGATCATACCTGTGGTCAAGCTCATCTCTGGCAACATGGTCTCCATTTGCGCGCAACCTCGCCATCATACAAGAGCTTGTTGCAGAATGCTTTTCTTGTTTTTTTCCGAGAAGGTAACAACAGCCTGAGGGATCCATACATGTCTGTCTGTCCAATCACTTGGGTTTTGGCCTTCCGGCCTTCGGAGCGGTAGTCCTTTTAGCTTGGCTGAGTTGCCGCGCTGGTTGAGGCCCGACCCCTTGCCCTGCAACCCAAAATAACATTTATACACAAGAAAAAAATGGCATGCATTTCAACCGTAGTCGAAACCCGTTGCTTATAGTGTGTGTTAAGAGTGATATATATATGCATATATATAACGGCGAATAGGCGATTAGAGTGCTGACTTTGATTAACACATTAACTTGAAGCAATTAGCATTTCATTACAAGGGAGATAGCATATCCTGTCTTATAGGTTATATATTGTGTTGAAATCAGTATATTGTGTGTTACATGAAATTATATAATGTATTATGCTATATATTGTATTAACATTTGTTATGTGAATTATATATTGTGTTATGCTGTATAATTTGCTTTGCTGAAATTATATAATTATACAATGTGCTATACATATTTATGCTACTTTTTCTATAAACACGTGTTGATTGAGTCAGATCAGTAGGAGTGGCCAAAAAAACGAACCGAACCGCCAAACTGAACTGAATTATCGGTTAACCGAGTAAATTCGATTCGAATACAAATACTGGATATTTGATATTTGTTCGATTTTCGATTCAGTTTTGATTTTTTATATATTTTTTTGTTCGGTTAACCGAACCGAACATATGGTTCGGTTCAAATTATTTGCAAATATTTTCGATTAATCGAAATTTTCGATTCGAATATGGTTCGCAATTTCGGGTATTTGTTCGGTTCGGTTCAGATATCAAATATCTGCGTAGTTGCAAATAACCAAACCGTCCCCACCCCCACAAATCAACACTATGTTGATTTGATCCAATCAACACGATATTCAAAGCGTGTATATATATATGTGTATATACTGAGAAAGAGAAAGGGGAAGAGAGACTAACTGTTGTCCGGGAGAGAGAATCGCTTTCTCTGGTCACTGGCGGGAGTGATCCTTTCTTTAGGTGTACTTTGTGATCTTGAGCCAACATGAGGAGGCCTTGAGGGGGCTTCCTCAGCCGAGCTTTTCCGAGCTGGTTTACAGCTTCGACTTGAGCCAACAATGGTTGTCGTTCCATTCATATAAGAGGACTTGTTTGGGGATGGGTTACGCCCACCTTTATAAGGAGCATCGCCCTTTTTCATGTTCAAAGTGTCCGAGTTATTGCTCGAACTACGGACCATTCTTCCATTTCCGACATTCCATTTAGGATCTCTCCGGATAGGAGGAGTATTTGTTGAACGTGATGGCGGTGTAACCTTCATTCCACCACCATCAAATTTGATATCTAAGTTGCGATTTTCCCATCTCTGAGATGAGTCGTGATTGCAGTAACTGTTATCTGGCTCGATGCCGTCGGATTTCACCTTCTGCCTCAGACTTGCCTGCCGCTGAAAGAGAATTTCGATTCTTAGTTAGTAATATATAAACGTTATCAACATTTTTTACATTTAAAGATTGATTGGTAATACTGTGGGTAATTCCATCGTGCTGCTAGTTGTCGTATTCAGCAAAAGATGATACACAACTATTCCTGTTAGGGAAAGAATCCAAAGTACTTTTCGAAAGAGAGGTAATTATTAAACGTAACCTGGCCATTTCTATCGACTTCTCAACGAAGTACATAAAATGCAATAAAATCTAGCCAATGCCATTTCTAAAGTGACTATGTCTTCTTTTAAGGTTCGTCTAGCAATATTCATCAAAATATTCCCCCTAAAATCCATCAAATCAAACACTTATTTTTCGTTTAATATATTATACAAAGAAAATTAATTTTTTGATCAAATACTATTTCAATTCAAATTTTTAGTATTTCCAAACCCAAAAACCCAATCCAAAGCTTAAAGGAACACATACGGGTCTGTTCTTTAAGGTCTTGTTTTTGTCTACCACTATTTATCAAAAATACTTCTCCCAAAACCATCAAATCAAAAATACATTTTTCCTTTAATATATTATAAAAAAAATTAAAAAATTTCACTATATTCCCAAACCCCAAACTCAAACCCAAACTTTAAAAAGAAAGACACCCTAAGATCTCTAGAAATTAAACATCATATTTTCAGATCAATAATCTTTTCAACATTACATTATTTCAAAACACCAGTTTCGTCCTCTTTTTAGTTATGACACAAAAGGTGCTTACCTGGCAAGCTGAAGCATAAGACAGCGCTTTTTCACGCTTGGCTGCTGCCTCTTTCCTTTTCAATAACTTGGCTTGAATCTCTTCGACAGAACCAACACTGGCACACCACCCATCCTGGTAGTACTGAACGAATTAGAGCAGCAGAAAAATAAGATCTTAAACAAAGCCAGTGAGAAATTGTAGAGTCTTGAAAATTATATACGAAAAGCCTCCTAAAGCAGTTAGTAGTAGCAAGCTACTCATTAGCTCAGTAAGGCTTGATTTTGTCTCATTATGTTAAAGGCCGAGTTTGAACTTGAGAAGATTCTTAATCAAGCCATGTAGTTCAATTCAATCCAATAAACAAGTAGCTCCAAACTGCTCGACAAGAATGGCAAAAGTTCCATGAAACAATAATAGGATTGAACAAACAAAAAATTGAGCCAAGTTTGATTTTCAGACTTGATTCGAGTTGAGCTCGAGCTTCCTTGATTAGATGAATGAATTTTAAAAATAATTCAAGATACACTCATATATAAATATGCAACATTCTACTTCAAGATACCAAAAAATCTTGTACATGCCAGAAATTATATAATGTAAGTTGGTTCGCAAACTAAATATTATGATTAAAAAGCATAGCTTACTTCAATTTCTTTAGCATGAGTCTTGTGTCTTTGCTGTTGTTGAGGTTTATCTTGCGGCCCTTGATTCTCTAATGGTATATTAGCACGTCTTGCTCGGGCGCGAGCCTGAACTCTAACTACAGCCTGCATACATTGGAGAGTGATGGCTGCTTGCTTTCTCACAGCACGACCACGGACAAGGGCTTGAAGTTTCACCAACCCTTTTAGAGCACGTAAAGCTTGTCTGGCCTGATAAGAAAATAATATAAAAACACAATAATAGGTATCATTCGAACTACTGCCTGCTTCTGAAAGAAAATCACTAGCTGTAAGATGGTGAGTGCACTACATGCAATTTCATCTACTGTTACAATAACAGGAGGCTCGAAAAAATGCCATTATTCAGAGCTCTCTCAAACACAGTAACTATGCCCAACTTAAGACAAACATGCATAGATAAAATTGTACTTTCGGCATTCACTTTTAGAAACCCGCAAATAGAATTTGTTGTTATGTCAGATAATATGCATTTTATATAGATGCTTCTTTTGAGCAAATCTTTAATCTCTAAGTAAAAGCATTTCCACAACATACACATGAAATGTATGAGTATGACTTGAGAGCATTGCTTTCAATGCCATTAACCTGAAACATTGCTGTTTCTAAGGTTCTATTACAAGCACATACACGTATAACTTCTTTGGTCAGGCAAAACTATGCTCTACATTGGGTTAAACAGTCAACTTTTACTATCGCTAAGATAAACAATAAACAAAATAATTAGCTCAATGAAACCCTAACACCCAATGCAGTAATTGACACACAAATTAATAGAAATCCAAAAGGAATCAGTTCCATACCAGAAATCCTCTAAAAGCCGCTTGAATGAGTATGGCTGCCAATTCCTCTCTTGTATTCTGTTTTGTGTGAGCCGCATTTTTCACCTGAAGGGAAGTTGGAAAGTTGCCTGAATTTGTTATTGTCTGGATATTTGATACTACAGCATCTTCCATCTCCGTAACGAGATTTTGATTCAACCCATTTTCAAGTATGGCACTATCAATCTCAGCAGAGTGCTTCCTTTGGTGCCAAATCTTGCGAGAGCAGCCAAAACACTGTATGTTTAAACAAATTTGCAATAATACTTCAGCAAAATACCATCAAAACTCAATAATGGGAACTAGATGGACATTACATAGAGATTCTGCTGTGATATCTGCATAACATTATGCAATATGAAGCGCCACAATTCTGCATGCCACACTAATGTGAAGTAATATCCAATCATCCACAGAGAGCGAATTTGAAGATAAAGAACAAAGTAGAAGTCTGTGAGTTCGAGCTGTAAGTTGTTTATTCATCACATTTACCTAATTTGACACATTCCAATGGGTGAAGGGTGGCGCACAAAGAGGGGGATCCCATAGACAGGGTTCATGACTGGAGTGAAGTCATAACAAGGTAAGCATACTAGAAGGTAAAGCTAAATCACCTCCTTCCCAAGGAGAGCAAATGCTTGTAGGGTATCCTGGTTTAACACTAATTCATACCCAAAACGAAAAAGCAATGAGCTATGTTTGAGAAAAACTTGGGGGATGAAATCTTCTTTCATGTCTCAATGGTAAAGTAACCCTAAACTCATGGGCTTATTATCCTAGGTCATTACAAGCTAATAGGATCTCGTTTGTTATGCCACCATGTCCTATAATGCCATGCATTCAAACAAGAAAATAACTCAAATCAAGATTAGTTCATATCTTTCACCACTTTCGCCATTACCATTATCTGACTTGTCTTGTGTAGTTCAAATCTCTCACCCATTTTGCTCAGCTCAATATGGAGTGTATACAAGTTACGAGTACAAGGTATTCGAGGGAGCAACCTTCTTTATTTCCTCATTTCCTCGTCCATACTTTCTTATTTATCTTGGATGTAGTATAAATAGAAATAAAAGTGAAATTACAATGTAAAGTGGTGCATACATTCATTTCCGCCACAGGGGATTGTGGTTTATCGGGTCTCTTCAGACCGAGCAATGCTCTCATCCATTTCTTTGGGGCACCCATGTTTTCCAGACCTGCAACCGAACAACTTCAATAGGAAAACCTACAACTAGAGATTCATGAAAGCAAAAAACACAAAATCATATAATATCAAAAACAAGATTTAGGGACAAAATGAAATATTTGTCTTTTAGTGAACCCCTTCACTTTGATCCTTTAAGTAGACAGACCTCTTTGGTAATAGTCTTATATCACATTTTTCGATTGCACTAATGAGTGATCTTAGAAACCAATCCCTCTACAGAAAAATATCAATATCGTATTTGCATTGTGTATTCCTCTCCATAAGAATGTGTAAATGTCGCACCATAATTGAGACAATTAAAGCAACAAGAAGTGACAAATTGGACCACAAATTCCACCTAAAAGTACCAAATTGATACTGCCCCCACCAAAATCGCACTTTTCACTAAAACTTATGATAAACTTCAGTCATGAGCCAACCGCTATGTACAGTTGATACAAGCATTCCATGTTCTCCTTTAACAACATAATTTTTCCATAGTTGAGGCAGAAACTTGCAGCAGCATTAAACCATCAACATATATATATATATAAATATAACCTAATAATTCTATCTCCAAATCGCAGGAGGTGTGAAAACTAGGCAAAATTAAGGATAAAATTAACTGCAATTCTTCATTTATCAAATCAGAGAGTATAATCGAACTAGTGCCTAGTGGCGTAGTCGGAAATCCACTCCAAACATCACAAAAGAGAAATTAACCTTCAATCGAAGCTTTCTGGTTCAGAAAATCTCAATTGCCGACATCGTGAAGCCGCTGCGCAGCACCAATGATTCGATCCAACAAATTACCGAACGGCGACTGAACTCCTTTCCAATTCAGGAAAATGCAAAAGACGGCATTAAGATTGGGAAGCCGCTAAGAGGTGACAGTTGAGTTGGAACAAAATTAGGGCAGAGCATTGAGAAATCGACGAGAGATCCGGAGATGGGATGCAAAAATTGAGGATTGATGAGAGATTCATCTCATCACGGACGCGAAGCAAATGCCTGCCGAAACGGATGAATGCTTGCTGAAACGCAAACCAACAAAATAATTATTACAGTATGTTGTCAGAATTTATACTATTAAAATAGGAGTATATATTATTATAATAATTATTTTATTTTTATAAATGTCAGTGTGTCGTGTCGCGTCCCTCCAATCCATCATTGCATTTGCACGTTGATTCTGGCTTTCAAATTTTTCAATTTAAAAATTAATTTATTATTTGAAAAAAACGTGTTCTCAATTTTGTAACTATATTTTTTTTTATTATCATGAACACTTTAAATATTAATTATTATATTAAAATAAAATATAAATTTAAAAAAATGTAAAAATATTTATATTAGTATTTTATAATATTTTTATTATAATGATATTTTGTGAAAAAAAATTATATAAATATAAAGATATTTTTAATGTTAAGTACAACGACGTAAAAATTAAATGAAACTCTTAGATTCGAATAAAGAAAATATTATTTTTGTTTTGTAATTAAAATTTGTATTATTTGATAGATTCGTGTGCTCCATCTGTATCAGACTGGTGCCATGTACACATTTCCCGGCCGAAAGACCATTTATGCCAAAAAAAAATCACTTAAGGGTGTGTTTGTTTGGGGGTTTGAATTTTGAGTTTGGATTTGAATAGTAAAATTTTTGAATTTGAATAGTTGTATGATGTGATATAAATAGGTGATGATGTGGTGTTTTAAATGTAAAATTGATTTTTAGTATAATATAAAAAATAAAAAATAGGTGTTTGATTTGATGTTTTTGGGAGAAAAATTTTGAATCAACAGTGAAATTTAATCCAAATCCATCAAACGAACACACCCTAAGAGGACGATTTTTATACCCACTCTAGTCATAATACTAGATAAAGGATCAATTACCTAATTAAAAAACAATTTTTCTATTATAGAGTATTTTTTAATAACATGAAAATTCAAGTGTGCGATTTCTTTTGGTTGAGTTTAGAAAAATTTGGTTTGAGGTTGATATTAAAATAATATTTGATGAGGTATTTTGTGAGAGAAACAAATATATTTGTTTTGATAGGGTATTTTGTTAGAGAAAAAAAATGTATTTATTTTAAAAAATGCAGAGTTCAAATAGTAAAAATTGAAAAAATTCATCACAATTATTATTATTATGATTATGATTATCATTATTATTATTACTATTAGATAAAATTACTTATAAAATTAATTCGTAGTTTAGAAAGTTATATTATACTACAATTTATACTCATTGCATTATACTCTTCTGTGATTTAAACTTTAAATAAGATTTTATCGTATTTTTAAAAATATTGCAAATTTTCATAAAAATTACACGAAATTCTCTTGTATTGTAAAAAATATTGCATAAATTCCCTGAAAAATATAAATGAATCTCCTGCAAATTTTAAATCATTGAGAAAAATAATAAAAAGATTTCAAATTACAAATAAATTATAGGTAATTTTGTCTTGTTATTAAGGATTGTTTATCTTATGCTTATATACATATTTCTTTTATATTAGGAATAATATCTGTAATATAAAAATACTTTAAGATGATTTTGATATATTTATTATTGTAAATACAAAGAAAAGTGTTTTTTTTGGTAAAAATTACAAGTATTTTAGTCTTTGTATATTGATTATTTTTACTATAATTAAAAATTAAACAAAAATGATACATTGGATTGGGGTTCATTTCGTTCCCTAGCATTGATTTATACAGGTTTTTTTATGGAGTTTGATTTAATTGAATCGATGTAATTATGTCACATATAGTTCAAGGAGATTGCCCATACATACAAAGTGTTGATTGATCCCGAGAAGTATGAAATTTACGACATGTATGGAGAGAATTCACTAAAACAATGAATGAGCGGTGCTTTTAGATCTTTTTCGGCGGGAGAAATCCATTCGAAGTTGATTATCTGCTCTGTTACAAACAATTTTGGAGATTTGAGACCATTTCAAAAATATTATCTCAAATATACTTTCATCTCACCAAACATTACATTAAATGCTAATTTTTTATTATTTTAAAAATTTTAAAACTCGGAGATCTCCAAAAAAAAAATATATGTCTAAACGGATATACTTGAATTTGGATACAATTGGATTTGATTTCATACTTTGCATCGATCATACTAAATTAAAACGGAATATATGTCTACGTGATTATACAGGTAAAGCAGACAATAGTACCAGAGGGCAAAGGCAAATGTCACATAGTCCATCAATTGAAGATATCTATAGAGGATTTGTATCTCAAAACAACTAAGAAGTTGTCAATATTTCCTAGCATTATTTGCTTAAAATGTATTAGTAAAGGTTTCTTTACACTTAAAATCTCAAATTTTTACTATTTGGACTGTACGTTTTTTGAAAAAAATATTTTTTTTTATCATAAAATATCATATTATATATTATTTTAATACAAAATTCAAACCAATATTTTTCCAAACTTATTAAAAAAAAACAAACCGTGGGTCTGAATTTTACTTATGTTAATTATTTTATTTATTTATTTACTCATACATAAATGTGTACAAAACCACGGTAAATTAATTGTTTAATTATTCAAATAATAATAATAATTTAATAAATGTTAACATTGTTTAAATTAATTTTATTATTAATTTATAAAATTTATGAATAGAAGGTTGTAGATTTAAATGGTTTTGTTATTATTGAAGTGATTATAATTATAAATACTATTATTGTTAGTTATTTAATGATGTCAAAAGAAAAAGGTGTTTTGTATATATTATTGACTTTTATTGAATAATACTATTGTATGAAATGTTAAAATTGTTGGCTTAAGAAAACAAGATTAATATATATTTTAAAAATAATATTCATCTCGTCCCAATGAATGAGGTTTTCTAGAGCTTCCTAGTAAATTATGAATAATAATATTTTATTATTTACTGAAAGTGTATATAAATTTTTTTGATATATTTATATTTTGGACAGTGTATATATAAAATAATTGCATATATAATAATATATTTGTAATTTAAATAAAAATTAAAAGAATATTGTAATATTAAGGTATGATTATGTTTTTTAAAAATAAAAAATAAATATTTTAAAAATACAATATATTTGAAATGAGACAGTGAATTATTAAGTTACATAATAAAAATGGAAAATAAAAAAATGGTCCAAACAAGCAAGCGCACCCTATATTTGATTTGATCACAGTACACTACACTACATTGACGGAATAGATGAAATGACGAAAATACCCTCCCTAAATTATCGTTTTTCCGCCGTCGTTGGGTGGGGGAGTCTACGGTATGTGTCGGGAGCCTTCACAGCCGCAGAACATATTTATTCGCCAAAACCAAGAAAATACAGAGAAAAAGCAAAAATGGTGAATCTCCCAATTTTCAGATAGACAGAGAAATCAGCGGGCGTGTGGATTAGCCGCGGGATTGCGTTTGAAGGAAGGAAGGAAGGAAGGATTGACTGACTGGAAGAAGGAGGACGACGCAATTGACGAATTTCTCGCTGCTAGGGTCGGGAAAAAGTGTCTTCTCTTTTGTTTTGTGTTTGAGGATTCAAGCTAGGGTTCCTTTTCGTTTTCTTTTGTTTTAGGGGTGTAATTTCTGAAAATGAGGTTTCCGAATGCGAATTCTTGAGGATTGGGGCTCCGATCTTATTGCGAAGCTTGGTATTCTAGGGTTTTCAGGCGGGAATGGACGTGGATTCGGCGATGGCTACCGAGCCCGATCACGATCCGTCGGAGGAGTCGGCCACGACTAACGGTCACGTCCAGCAGGGGGAATCTCAATCCTCTGCGCCTCAGCAACAGCAAAGTAATAATAGCAATAATGTTAGCAGTAATAGTAATAGTGGTGGCGGGGCGGTGGTGGCCGGTCCGCGGTGTGCGCCGACGTATAGTGTTGTGAGCGCCATCATTGAGAAGAAGGAGGACGGTCCTGGATCGCGATGTGGCCATACGTTGACAGCTGTGCCTGCGGTTGGGGAGGAAGGGAGTCCTGGGTATATTGGCCCGAGATTGATTTTGTTTGGTGGGGCAACTGCTCTGGAAGGGAATTCAGGGTCCGCCGGAACTCCTTCTTCGGCTGGGAGCGCAGGAATTCGTATGTTGTTCTTTTCGTCCCCAATTTTATGTTATATGTTCGATTGCGATTTCGATAGCCTCAGACTTTTGGTGGTGGAAGTTTCTCTGGTAGATTTTGAATGTTCTTTAGCAATCTTGAAGAATTGTTGTTTAAGTTCTTGATTAACCATTTTGTGAGTAGATTGAGTCAAGTTTTCATGTTTATGCTATCTCTTTTCCTGCTGTGGAAAGGTTGTATGTAGATAAGGGGTGTGGTGGGGTGGTGGTATTATAATGGGTTAGCTGTGTACACATTTGAGTTGAGTGGTTGCAGTTGTCTGGTTACAATTTTGCTGATTTTGAGGCTTTAGTAACGGAAATTTAGATTGTTTGTCGTTTTGTTCGTTTGCATGTTCTAGATGTCATTCTGGGTTTCAGACACTTGTCTAGCTAATGATTTATTTAAAATAAGCGTGGGTTTTATGACTGACTAAAGTTGGTTGAAGAAAATGAAAAAGTTGTGTTAATTTATCATAAATGATAGTTCGATAAAAGCTTTTTTTAATTGATAATGATCTATCGGTTATAGTTATTGGCGGCGATACTTTCTAAGTTTATAGTTACCATGTGTAAATGACTTATTATGAAGCTATTGGGTCACATAAACCAACATATTCTTGCAGGGTTGGCTGGTGCTACTGCCGATGTGCATTGTTATGATGTTTTGACTAATAAATGGTCTAGGTAATCACGATTTCACTGATTTTAATCGGAGTGATTACTTCTAGACATAGATCCTGTTTTTCCATGGCCGCCCTTGTTTGACCTCTTTCTACTGCTGTTTCCTTTTTTTCAATTCTTGCAGGCTTACTCCAATTGGTGAACCACCAACACCGAGGGCCGCTCATGTTGCCACTGCTGTAGGCACAATGGTTGTAATTCAGGTCTGTTGATACAAAGATGATATTGGAAAATGGATTAATGTATCTATATGGTTCAGACCATTTTTACTTATTTATACACGGGAGTAAACAATTATGCCGTGTTCCTTTATATGATATTTGATGCATAATTGTTTATCACAGGGTGGAATTGGTCCGGCTGGGTTGTCAGCTGAGGATCTTCATGTTCTGGACCTTACACAACAGCGACCAAGATGGCATAGGTTGGCCTTTTTGTTATTATAGCCATGTTCATTCTTAATATGTAGCATATCTATGGTTGGAAACTTACTGCATTGTAATTTCTCTTAGGGTTGTGGTACATGGTCCTGGTCCTGGGCCACGGTATGGGCATGTCATGGCTTTGGTGGGACAGCGGTATCTCATGGCGATTGGCGGAAATGATGGTTTGTTGTGTTGAAATCCTCCCCCCCCCCCCCCCCCCCACCACCACCATTTTTTTTCCTATTGTATGCTATCTATATGAACAATTTTGTGGTGTTCCTTTGTTAGGGAAAAGGCCCTTAGCTGATGTATGGGCGCTGGATACTGCTGCTAAACCATATGAATGGCGGAAACTGGAACCAGAGGGTGAAGGCCCCCCTCCATGCATGTTAGTTTATCTAGCTTTCTAAACTATCTTACTGGTTGCACTAAACTTTTTATTTCCATACATTTACCTCCCTTCTCATTTTGGCATTATCTGTTGATAAACTTATTTAAAGTTTGTGGAACATATTTTTAATTCTTCAACAAGGAATATACGAAACTTTTTATTTGTGAAAATAGAAGTGACAATTAGCTGTGTAAATTGGTTGTTGTCATCATTTTCTGCCTCTCTGAATATATTTTCTTGTACAATAGGATTGTGTTATTGTTTTAGTTAAGTAGACGATTTTCTAGATGATTAGTTTCAAATACTAGTTGCAAGACCATTATTCTAGAAGATATGCCTTCCTTTGATTGACATTTGTGTTTTATGAACTGATCATGACTGAAACACTAATACACCTTTTACTTTCTTTGCTCACCCAGGTATGCAACTGCTAGTGCACGTTCTGATGGTCTTCTCCTACTTTGTGGTGGACGGGATATGAACAGTGTAGTAAGTATCAAACTCTTTTCTGTCATGTTCATGCATGACAAATTCACTTTCCAAGGATTTTAATGGTTTGCTCAATAATGGGAGGTCTTGGCTTATTTTAATTATGATAGTTTATTTTGTTTAATTTTCTCTTATGAGCTATATTAATCTACTAAATCTTTTAATTTGAGATTTAAGTTTTATCAGATGAATGGGTTCAACAGTTCTTTTTAATGACATACCTTTGTTTCCCAGCAACATAGTTCCCTATGGTTGACCTGGCAATAAAGTATACGACGAACAGGATTTGTATTTTTTGTCCCATATAGATACGTTTGAGCCTTAGATGATAATTTTGGTGATGACAAATATAAGTATGTTAATCATAACATTTGTGGGGTTCCAGTGACTGCAAACTTTTATTTGATTCGATTTGTCCAAATCATGTGACATGCAGCCATTGGCTAGTGCATTTGGGCTTGCTAAACATAGAGATGGTCGGTGGGAATGGGCCATTGCCCCAGGTGTCTCACCATCTGCTAGATATCAGCACGCCGCGGTATGCTCTATTTGACTACTGTTTTGTAATGCCTTCCTACATTGGTACTACAAATAAAGCAAATCTCCTGATGCATAACATTTTTATTTGTATTGCTTTACTAGGTTTTTGTCAATGCACGTCTCCATGTATCTGGTGGGGCACTTGGTGGTGGACGCATGGTAGAGGATTCCTCTAGTGTGGCTGGTAGGTCTCTCCCTCTCTCTCTCTCTCTCTCTCACGCACACACACACACACACACACTCTGATTTCTTCAAAAAAAAAATGTACTGCATTTGTAATGTATAAAATAAACCTGGTTTGTTCTATTTGCAGTTTTAGATACTGCAGCTGGAGTTTGGTGTGACACAAAATCAGTTGTCACAAGTCCAAGGACTGGCAGATACAGTGCAGATGCTGCTGGCGGGGATGCAGCAGTTGAATTAACAAGGCGGTGTAGGCATGCTTCTGCTGCTGTTGGTGACTTGATTTTCATCTATGGTGGTTTACGTGGTGGTGAGATATGAAACCATCAAGTATAGTGTTTTGGTTTCAGAAAATCATGTCGGCGATGAATGATAGTCCAGTTAATTTACGCAAGCCATCTGATTACTGATGGTTTAACTGTGTCATCTGGTTTATGAAGAAACTTTCTATCTTAATTTATCTATAAATTATGCAATGGTATGCGCTGGTAGACAATATTTTCTACTCTTTCTCAAGAAAACAAACCGGTATCCTTCTACAGTGTTTGGATAGCATATAGATAGGTTTTATTGATGATTGAATGTTTCTGTAGGTGTGTTGCTTGATGACTTGCTTGTGGCTGAGGATCTGGCTGCAGCTGAAACAACTAGTGCAGCTTCACATGCAGCTGCTGTGGCAGCTTCATCCAATTTACCGCAAGGGAGGCATGGATTTACTGATGATAAATCAAGGGCACCTGCACTTGATGCCGCTGCGGATGGTGGCGCAGTTGTTGTTGGAAATCCAGTTGCTCCCCCAGTGAATGGTGACATGTATACAGATATAAGCACAGAAAATGCCAAGGAAGGTACCAGGTAAATCATAATCCCTCCTTTTTTTATGTACTGTAATTGTTGCACTAGGTTATGGTTGATCCAAGCTCGGACTGAATATGTGATACTTCTCAGAACCTTAACTAAAGGGGTTGAGTACTTAGTTGAGGCTTCAGCGGCAGAAGCTGAGGCTATAAGTGCCACATTGGCTGCGGCTAAAGCTCGACAAGTTAATGGAGACGTTGAGTCACCTGACAGAGATCGTGGGGCGGAAGCAACTCCAAGTGGAAAACAAATATCTACTTTGATCAAACCTGATTCTTCAGGATCAAACAATACTGCTTCAGCTGGAGTTCGTCTTCACCATCGTGCTGTGAGTACTGTCTAAGAAATATAATTGCATTCAAGTTGCTTGGTGGTTTTATTAATGTTGTAAATATGCCATCAGGTTGTTGTAGCTGCAGAGACTAGTGGTGCACTAGGTGGTCTGGTCAGGCAGCTTTCAATTGATCAGTTTGAAAATGAAGGCAGGCGGGTCAGTTATGGAACTCCTGAAAGTGCAACTGCTGCTAGGAAACTTTTAGATCGACAAATGTCAATTAATAGCATACCTAAGAAGGCAAGTTTCCTCCTCAACCACTACATGTACTGTATGTATAGGAGAATTGAATGTTTCATGAATCTGTGTTTGTTCGGGTATTCCTGGATTTGAATGAAGGTTTGGCACAGTAATCTGTTTATGCCTTCAGCTATTGTGGTAGAATATCTACATGTAATCTTAATTCTGAGAATGAGATATCACTAACTGAATCAAATGGCCGTGTTTTTCATTTTTCTTAGTGATTTGTGAATCTCTCTGTCCCAGGTTATTGCTCATCTCCTGAAACCTCGTGGTTGGAAGCCTCCAGTCCGGAGACAGTTTTTTCTAGATTGCAACGAAATTGCGGATCTCTGTGACAGTGCTGAGAGAATATTTGCAAGTGAACCTACTGTATTACAGCTCAGAGCTCCTATTAAGATATTTGGTGATCTCCATGGGCAATTTGGCGATCTTATGAGACTCTTTGATGAGTATGGTTCACCTTCCACAGCAGGGGATATTGCGTGAGTTTCAAATACACCTTGTCCTATTACAAGCTTCAATGGCCATAATTTGATTTTTTTTTAATTGCACATATAAGTGTTGCTAGTCCATTAGTCAGCAATATGCATACTTATCAATTAATTGGTTCGTGTGGAGAACTTATAGTAAGCTTCTGTTTGAAACTTTTGTTGGCATTATACTTATGCACATGCCAGCCTTACTACGTAACCTTAAAGCCCGGGTATGTTTCTTTCAGTTGATGCATTGAAGTCTTGGGCGGCATTTGCTAATACTTATTTGTGAGATTAGTTGAATCGGTAATAATGGTAGAATCTTTTCACTGCAACATCTATGTAGCTACGGCAACATTTGATGTGGTTGCATATTCCTGTCTATATAGTAAATTAGTATCTAAAAGATTCGACAGTTGCCCTGGAAAGCTAATGCAACATTTTAGTATCTGCAGGACTTAGCTATCTGCTTAAAATCTAAATATGCCATGTTTTTGACAGATTTTTTTTCTTTTAATTGCTTTTCTGTGATGTGTATACCTGCTAAGGGAAATTGCATCATTTTGGTGCAGGAGGGAAGGCAGAAATATAGAATTTTAATTGGCTTGTGTTAAGATATGTGCAAATATCTCTGGCATGATTGGAGGAATCTGAAAATTGACATCCTATTGAATGTTATTATTGGGTTAAGTTTGAATGTTTGTTGTCTTCGACTTCAGTTCATATACTTCTCCTCTATTGATGCAAATATTGAGTAACCAAAAGTTAATGTGCTCTATAAAGGCTGCTGAACCACCTTTATTGGTTGTGCATATTTTGCAGACATTTCTCTCGATTCTTCATATAATATATTAATATGTATGATTATGTTCAAGATTTGTATGTTATGACCAAGAGAACATGTTAAGAACTCTATTGACCTGTTTGGTTCTAACTTTTCTGTCAAATTTGGTTTCCAATTTTCCATAATGATTTCTACAAACATCTATCAGATACATTGATTATCTATTCTTGGGAGATTATGTCGATCGAGGCCAACACAGCTTAGAAACCATTACTCTTCTGCTTGCATTGAAGGTAACACCCATATTTAAGTAGTGCAATATTTTTCTTCGTTATTCTAAAAAAGCCTAGGCAACTATAGCCCCGTGTTTTATGCAAAGTTGTATGTATGTATCAATAATTGCTCTGATGCAAATGCACTATGATGTAGGTTGAGCATCCTCATCAAGTGCATTTGATCCGTGGTAATCATGAAGCTGCAGATATCAACGCTCTTTTTGGCTTTCGAATCGAGTGTATCGAGCGGATGGTAAATGCCAAAGCAATTATTTTGTGCCAAGTATTTTTTACAAAGCCCTAAATCTCAATGTCACATTGTGAATTAGGGTGAGAGAGACGGAATATGGGTATGGCATCGGATAAACAGATTGTTCAATTGGCTTCCTCTGGCTGCATTAATCGAGAAGAAAATTATTTGCATGCATGGTGGCATCGGGAGATCAATAAACCATTTAGAACAAATAGAAAGTATTCAGCGCCCAATTGCTATGGAAGCCGGATCCATTATACTAATGGACTTACTGTGGTTGGTCCATCTCATTTCATTTTATTTTAAAAAATTTACAGTTCTTTGTTTTGCGTATTTCTTATGTTCTTTTTTAATGTGAACCTTTTCGTGTAGGTCTGATCCGACCGAAAACGATAGTGTAGAAGGATTGCGACCAAATGCAAGAGGCCCTGGTTTGGTAACCTTTGGGGTGAGTGTCACAATTTCTGCCGTGTTTACATTCCGGATTTCTGCTCGACGATTCCTCTAAGCTTCTTTATCTCTTACAGCCAGATCGGGTGATGGAATTTTGCAACAACAACGATCTTCAATTGATTGTCCGAGCTCACGAATGTGTAATGGACGGATTCGAGAGATTTGCTCAGGGACATCTAATCACTCTCTTTTCCGCCACAAACTATTGCGGTATGTTCTTTTTAATATTTTCCACTCGTCATCTCTACTTATAAACTGTGTTTATTTGTGGGGTTTTGGTTTTAGGTTTTGATTTTGATTAGTAAAATTTTGAATTGAAATAGTTGTTTGGTGTGATCTAAGGGTGTGTTTCTTTTGATGAGTTTGGAAAAAAGTTCGTTTGAATTTGGTATGAAAATAATGGTTGATGGGATGTTTTGTGAGAGAAAAAAATGTATTTTTTTCGGAAAACGCAGAGTCCAAATAGTAAAATTTGGAGAAACTCAGCTAAAGAAACATACTCTAAATATGTATTGACGTGATATTTTGAATATAAAATTATATTTTAGTAGTATAATATAATAAATGAACAATATATGTTCGATTTGATGTTTTGGGAGGAAAAAATTAGAATAGTAAAATTAAAATCAAAATTTTAGGGATGTGTTTACTTGTAAGATTTTGGTTTTGAATAGTAAAATTTTGAATTGAAATAGTTATTTGATGTGATGTTTTAAATGTAAAATTAAATTTTAGTGTAATATAATAAATGAACAATATGTGTTTCAACGCTTTAATCTCCACAGGCACTGCCAACAACGCCGGTGCTATTTTGGTACTGGGCAGAGATTTAGTCGTTGTCCCAAAACTCATCCATCCGCTCCCGCCTGCAGTTTCGTCTCCGGAATCATCTCCCGAATCCCATATGGACGACACATGGATGCAGGTCTGTCTGGAATCATTTCATTACAATCTTCTAAATTTCCGAAGCTAATTCATTTCCCTTTCTCCGAATTTCAGGAGCTGAATGCCAACCGCCCCCCTACGCCCACGAGGGGCCGCCCCCAAGCCCCCGGCGACCGGGGCTCTCTTGCCTGGATTTAAGACAACGATAATCTCTCCTGCCCGGAATATTTCCAACATTGCTTCATCTCTGTACATAGTGTATGCAAATTTGGAGTCATTTCTTGGAGGCTTGGCGTCATCAAATCCATCCTCGCCTTGTTGAGGCTGCCCGGGATCGGTTTCCGGAATATTCGCCTTCTGTCCGTACATGAGGAACAGGTATAGTCAGTCTGTCTTGAGTTCTTATTTTTCTTCATGGGGTGAAATTTGGTGGTGTGTCTTAGTTACTTCTCTTTTTACATAATTTTGGTTTTGGTGTAGTTGTATTATCGTTGTTATCATTTTTATTAGCAGTGTGATTATTAATTTAATTTAATTTAATTTTCCTATATTTATATACTACATGATTTGTGATATATACATATATATGTGTATATATATGTATATCAGGTGAAAAAAATGTTTGCTTTGTTTCTTGTATGGATGGATGTAGAGGATGTATTTTTATTTTATTTTTCTCTAAAAATATTAAATTATATTATGATTTTGATGGAATGGGATACATTTTTTAAATTTGTGAGTTACATTTTTTATTTTTATTTGTTATGTTTAGTCCATCTAATAATTTTCTGTCTTGGTAATTAATGTTTATTTATTTGCTTTATTATATCCTCCTGTTTTTACTTGTTTCACTGTTTGTGTCATTATTCTGTTGCCTGAAAAGTAAATTAGAAATATGTTTTTATTTACTGATTTATTTATTTGGTTTGAACAGTGTGTTAGTAATATTATGTTATCGAAAATAGTGTGTGAATTATTTTCAGGATAATTAAAATAGGTATTTTGTCCTTTTCATAATGTTTGGATAGATTAGATTATATGTAGTAAATTGTATGCTAGTATTATTTTTAAATAGAAAATCGGTTTTATAAAGTTTTGAATTTGACCTGAATTCGGGTGTCTATATATAATATTATTGATTAATATATATATATAATTATATTTTTTTTGATACAATGTTAAATGCTTTGGTCTCTTTTTTTTTTTTTTTTTTTTGCCATTATAATATTATTGTTAATTGGATAGGAATTTGGTGTAATTGGATCCGATCTATTTATTTGAGGTCTGGTCCAATTATTCGGGTCATATCTGGGTCGGGCTTTGGGTCCAAGAGTAAACTTTATCCAGATTTGGACCCAAATAATATATTAATTATATATAATAATTATTAATAATATAAATTATATTAAAAATATATTTACAGTTTAATTAATTAATATTTTATTATAATATTTTTGAATAAAATACATAAATTTTAATATATTTTGGATCTATGTTCGGATTTGGGTTTAATTTTAAATAAAATTTTAAAAATTAGAAAAAAAAAAAATTCGGGTCCATCGGGTCTTGCAGGTACTATTAGGGTCAGATCCGGTATAGCCGAATTCAATTCGAGTCTCGAATATGTATTCGAATTGAGTCTCGAGTCTGGCTAAATCCAATCCATTGCATCCTTACCTAGGAGCGAAGCTTTTAGAGTTTGTTTAGATATGAGTTTTTGGAGATTTTAAAAATTTGAAAGTTTGAAAAAAGTAAAAAATTGGGTATTTGATTTGATGTTTTGTGAAAAAGAAAATATATTTGATGCGATATTTTTTTAAAAATAAATAGTATTAAATGAGTGAAAATATTTTGTGTAAACAGAGCCTTAATCTGTCGTCATGCTTATCTCCCCTTCTCTTTTATTCCTAGTTGATAGAGATTCTATTCTGAGTAGGGAGGAAAACGACAAATCCACAAAATAAGATTAGTTGTCCCAAAACTATACCTCACATGGACCACCCCCATAATTCCAATTAAAGAAAGTTACCCTTGTTTTGTGTTTTCATTTGCAATACTTTTTAGTTAAATAGTTTAATATGTTAAGATATATATACATATATGGAGAGAGAAAATGAAAATACAAGATAATTGTAACACCCCGTAAACCACGTAAATAGGATGTTTTGAGATAAAAAACGGTGCACTTTGTTTTAAATCAAGCGCACCTGAGAGACGATTTTTAAAAAAGAATGTGCACATTGTTAACATGTGTAATCTAATCAATCATTTTAAATATTAGTTATCTATACTCAACTTTGACAATATCACAATCTCCAGGACTTTTTAGAATGCAATATATCATCTCGATGCGTTTTATCTTCATTCTCGCATATCCTGAAGCCTAGCTTGATATGAAAAGTGCTAATTTCGTTAGGATAGACTTCATTTGACACGTCATAAATATGTTGATTTTTTTAGCCAACACATAATGAATAAACATATAATATATCGTTTTAACTGAGTATATGTTGTGTTAATTGAAATTATATACTAACAATTTTATATAAAGAGAATATGTTATATAAATATATTTTATATGTCCAAATTAATGAGAATATGTGTGTATTGGAAATTATAATATGTTGTCCGTTGATGTAATATATTTATATTATATTAACATAAATAATGTATTATATTTTATGATATATTGTTTTGTATTATATACTATACTGTGAGTATTGTATTAAACTTTTAAATTCAACACAATAATTACGGCTTATCACATGTTAACATGCACAATTAAAACCAAACATGTCATTTTTAATTTGTGATGTGGATTATTATCATATCTCATTTCATACTAGATATTTCTCAAGTCATCGAAAAATAAATTTATTTATTTTTTGCACATATTTTAATATTATGTATACTTTTTTTATGACTAAAAAAAGAAAAATGAGCTTATTTTTCCTATTAATGACAGGAGACTATTATATTATATTCTCTCTTCAGAATTATAGTTTTTTTTTTTTTTTTTTTGTTGGACACAATTTAAAAAATAATGATATTACATTGATATTTGGTAAAATGTATGAGTAAAAAATTTGTTGTCTTTTGAGTGTGTTAGCGTAAAAATTAGTGATATTTGTGTAATAATAATGAAAGAAAAAATTATAGTGATAAGAATATTTATGAAAATTGCACTATTATTTTTGAATGGACAAAAGTGATAAACAAAATTATTGTATTGAGACGAAAGAAATATTAATATACACTATTAATTTGTTATGTAAACTATTATCATATGTTATTAATAGACACGTATGTATATGTATAAACCATGTGTGATAGGTCATTAAAACATAAACCTTATTACACTCATTTAAGAAATTAATCAAAAATCCACCTCAGCTGCTCACAAAAACACACAACAAAAAATTTATCACATGTATATAATACATTTATTTATTAAAAATGTATATTAAGATGTAGCAATGCAATATGGCGGGTAAATGGCGAGTAATCTTCTCCGAGCTTCTTTACATCTCATTATCTCTCCACCATACCCAAATTCGTCATTTCCATTACCCTTTCTGTTCTTCACCTCCGCTCCAATGGCCGTCGCCGCCGCCGCCGTCTTCTTACGCCAGAAGTAATCGTACGCGTTAATTGGGCTCGCCGGAGGTGATTTTTGCCCTTTCAATTCTTCAATCTTCGCCGCCTCTGCTTTCTCCTCTCCGATCGGCTCTCCCCGCCGTTCTTCTTCTTCTTCCTCGGCGGCGGTTTCTGCGGTAGCTTCGTTGTTTTGCGAGATTAAGGTCAGAGTTAATCGGCCGTCGCGGCGTTGGGCGTGGAAATATGTCTTTGAGGGGACGGAAACCGCCTGGAGAAGAAGACGGCCGTCGCTCCGCCGTGAGTGCAGCCGGAGAGAACCGCCGGCGATCGACGAGATCGGCGGCGGAAATGGCCGCCGCGGAGATTCTCTGTACTTTGGGAGGTTTGATTCCTCGAATTGTTCCGTTTTCCTCATCCGATCGTCTTCTTCCCCAAATCCGACTTCTCTGTGCCCTAATTTCTCATCGGCGCCTGAATCCGGCGAGAAATAGTCCGATCCGGTCTCCGATCCGAGGCTTTCCGTACAAATTTCGAGACTCTTCTCGCTCAGACCGTTCGCCGATCTCTTCCCCGTCGGGTGAATGTACGGCTCCGCCAGACCTCCGCCGTCGTTAGGTTTCCGGCAATGAAAAATCGAATTCCACCCCTCTGATTTCTGCATTATCCAATCACGGCGGTGTTTCGGCGAACTCTTTTCACAGTCCTCCCCGTCGGAAGAAGACGGCGAGGAATCAACGGCGGCGGAGGCGGAGGCGGAGGCGGAGACCTGATCGGAGGAGACGCTCTTCTTAATCATTCCATTCTGAGAAAGCCATTGCTTGGAAGACATATCCGCCGACAGCGTCCTTCTAAACGACGTCGCTTTAGCAGTTACATCTCCGCCGCCGGTGCCGTCGCCGGCGCCGCCCAAAATCGCTACAATTCCTTTCATTCTCAGCGACTCTTCCAGAGTCAAAACGCGACTACTTTTGCTCCTCATCATCGTTGCAGACTCGCCGCCGGCCGCCGGAAAACAAGACGAGAAACTGATCACAGCGGCATCGTTGAAATTACAGAAAAATAAATTCCGATGAATGAATTGAGTAAAGAAGAAGATGAAAATGGAGGATGGGGTTCTGAATGAATTAGGGTTGGAGCTGCACACCTATTTGTAGGGACGACGAAAGTCCAAATATTTGCAAATTCAACCCTATATTTGTCAGTAATTGTAGTTTTGTGCCGGTATAGTTTTTTCAATTGTAGTATTTTATTTCTATATTTTGAAGTAAATTACCCTTTTCATTTATTAAATATATATATATTTTTATCTACAAAGAATTATGTATTTTATATTTATAATAAATATTTTTTACATATTTTTTTTTAATTAATATTCTTTGACATAATATTTATTTACAAAAATATCATAATTACTTACACACTCAATTTATACTTTTTAAAATATTTTAACTTTATATTAAAATAAACTTGTTTAATATTATGTTAATTAAAACTTATGTCCAATTCAAATAAATATACAATTAGTGAATGAATGGAGTATTTTTTTTTTCTTTTTTGTTTTTCCTTTAATCTCAAGTGAAATTGTATAAAAGTAAATTATATTTTATTTTATTCTTATATACACTTTATATATATATATATCTAAGATAAAATAATTAAAATACATAGATAAATTGATAACCATCAATTCAATAATAAATTTTATATTAATCAGTATTTCTAAATTAACCATGTAGAAAGATATATATATATATATATGTATAAATATGCATTTCTTTTGAAAATTTTGATTTTATTGTTTAATAACTATTTGAATATACTAATACTTTATTTTTTTAAAAAAAAAAAAACTAACACTCTCCTGTCAAATAAAAAAATGGTTACTTTCAAAATTATTTTATATTTACAAAATAAATAAGCATATTCTTTTTATAAATGAATAAAATATATTTTAATAAAGAACTGTGCAATAGTTTAAAGTAAAAAAAACGATAACCATCGAAAGGAACTTATTGAGCCAACGTACATTGTATTTTACGAATTTGAATAAAATCGAGTCAAGTCAATCAAATCGAAAATTTTAATTTAGCAATGGAAGTATAAAGTGAATTTAAAATTTATATGGAGACAATTAATAGTGGAAATCTACTTAATTAATAGGTGATAAATAATTAGAAAATAATTAATAAATTCATTGTATACATTCTTGATTAGTTAATATTTTGTATAAGATCAAATGCATCTTATCAAAACACAATTAATTATTAATTTCATTTTACTCTCAATATCCCATTAGTTAACAAAATAAATCATCATATTATTTAAAATTTAAATTTATATAAGTATTTTCAGATTTTTATGAGATAAAGTAATACTTCATAATTTTATGAAAAATTGCAATAATTGTATAGCTAAAAATAGAGAGACATATAGGAAAAAAATAAAGTTAAACCAAAGGTATGTTTAATTGGTTATTAACTTTTTAATAATGGTTTGAATGCAATCATATATATATTTAAAATTATGTGGAAATAATAATAATAATAATAATAATAATAATAATAATAATAATAATAATAATAATAATTGTCATCCAAGTAGATTTTTTGACATGCTTTCACGTAATATTGAGTACAATGATGCAAAAAATAGTATAAACTTTTGTTCTTTTTAAGTTTCTTTTTCTTTGTTTTTTTTTTTTTTTTTTACAACACAAGAAATAATATTGTAATAGATATGATATTTTTGTGAAATTAAATAATATATATTTTTGTAATAAACTATAATGGTTATAAAAATAAAATAATATAAAATAACATTCTAAAAAAATGGAGTGTATATTAGAAAATTGGGGGGAAAATTTAAATAGAATAAAACTTTATAATAACTAAAAACACAATAACATATATACATATTATATCTTATAGGGATTTAGAGAATCGGAATGAATAAATTGGATAATTAATTGAATTGTGTAATAATTATTTTCTAAAAAAATTTAATTCCATCGTATTTCAAGTTAACACAAATTTATGTGATATCAATATATTGAGTTAGAAAATTAATTTTTAATATAATAAAAAAATATTTATTTAATTTGATATATACTCCCTCCGTCCATTTTCTAATGTCCTATTTGATATTTACACGCAATTTTAGGCTATTAGGATTTTTGTTATAAAATGACAAATTTGCTTTTAATTTTGTGTATATAAAATGAAAGAGTAAATAAAGTAAAGGTAAAAGAGTAAATTTTGTATATAAAAATAGAAAAAGGATAATAATTGTTTGACATTCCAAATGAGAAAGTAGGACGTTAGTTTGTGGACGGAAGGAGTATTTTTTTTAAAAAAAAATCAAATGAATAATAAAAATCTTTGAAAAATCTAAAAAGAAAAAAAAACACATATGGACTATCACAAATAAATTTTTTGTTATGTTAAAATTAAAAATAATATATACATTTATTTTTATTATATTTTTTAAGAAAAGGAAAAAATTGGAAAAAGGGGTGGGATGATGAAAATGGCTTAAGAATGAAGCAAATTAAAGTGAGGAGAGAGAGAGAGATGTATCACTTTCTCACACTAACCAATGAACTATGAATGGCATCACTCTATTGGCTGCTACATTATTCTCAAAAAGAAGAATCCATCACCTTATTTATTTTATTTATTATTTACTCTCTCCATTTTATAAAATAATATAAATAAGAGGCCTTAAATAAAATAATTTTATATTATTTTCGTACATTAACTAAGTATTTATTTATTCATTTTATAAAATAATATAAATAAGAGGCCTTAAATAAAATAATTTTATATTATTTTCGTACATTAACTAAGTATATATTTATTTATTTTTTTCGCGTGTCAGAATTTTAAATATTAATATTATATTCATATATAATATAAATTAAAAAAAATAACATCTATTAGTATTGTATAATACAAGATACAATGATATTCATATAAAATATTGTTTATGCGTAAAGATATTTTTAATATTAAGTACAATAATATAAAAAAAAATAAATGAATTTTTTGTTAAAGGACGAAAGGGATAAATTAAAATGGTAAAAAAACACACTTCTACAAGACCATGAAATAATGATACTCCATCCGTCCCACATAATTTGTCCATATTTTCTATTTTCGTCCGTCCCACATAACTTGTCCTTTCTATTTTTGGAAATATAATTATGCACTTTAATCGTATTTTAAATTTTAAATTTTATAATTTTCTTAATTTTAATTAAACTATTTACTTATCTTAATCTTAATCTATAATTATTTTTACGAAATAATAATTATTTTTACTAATACACTTCTTAATTACTTACTAATTATACTTTACCTAAATTCTCGTCTCTACAGTAATATACACATGAGACGGAGGGAGTATATGATTTGATAGAAACTGTTTTGAGGTTTGAAGTTTGGAAAAAAAAAATATTTAATTTAAAGATTTTGTAATTTTTTTTTTTAAAAAATAATCTTATTGATAAATAATGCTAATGCTTTCAAAAGTGTGTATTATATAAAACACAATCATTTTTCTTTATTCATTATTGGTAATTTTTTTGTAATATATATATATATATAAATAATACTGATATTTATGTTGATCCATAAAGCATATTCTACTAGTACTAATATATCTATATCTATATCTATATCTATGTACATATTTTTCTTGTGTGTTGTAATGTGTGTATATATATATATATATATATTACACTGGGGCTTGGGGTTGACCACCAAGCCAAATTTTTTATAACTTTTTTAGTATTAAATATATTAATTTTATGTATTTATATACAATTTGCTCCCCCAAAACTATCTAAATTCATATATAATTATGTTATTATTATTTATTTAAATTTATTAGATAAATATTAAATAAATTATAACATTTTACCCCCCGGGATTTAGATGCTAGTTTCGTCATTGTATATATATATATACCCACGACTATTAGAAATTTGATGATTTGCTTCGAAAATTTGATTTGAATATTTAGTGTTTTTGAAATAAAATTTTATTGAAATATTGGTACCTGAAGAAAAAAAATTTGTTGTCATTCAATTGAATTCGAGTCTATTTCGAAGAGCTTTAGATATCTCGAAACGAAAAGAAGAACAAAAAAATGTGAACATACGATCCAAATATTATTCGATTTTTCGAACCAATTTTTGGAATATTTACAAAAAAATTCAAGATCAGATCGCCGAGGAATTATTTCATTTAAAATGAATAAATATATTAAAAAAAACACATACCAATAATTAATATAGAAAATGTGTATATTTTATTACTTAGTTATTGAAAATGATGATATTTTTTTTGGATGAAGTATATATATTTTTCATTATTATAAATATACAAAAGAAATCTTTAACATAAAATAATTAAATCATTTAAAGGGACACGTAAGCATTACATGCATCGTGTATATATATTATTATTTGAGACGTAGACAAAGGAATAGAAACAATTATAAAATAATTGTACAATTTGTGATCAACATCACAAACTTTTTATGAAGGTTCACATTTCAATACGCACAAATTAAATAATAATATATATATATATACGAATAGTCAAATTTATCTTAAAATAAAAAATTAATTAAATAATAATGTTAATTATATTTTATAATATAATATGTTAAATGTAAAAATTTTTAGTTACATGAGAAATACTGTTAAAAAAAAATAAAAATAAAAATTGATATGTAAATTAATTTTAAACGAATTAAAATAACAAAATAGATAAATTGATTCGAGGATAACAATAATAATAATATTTGGGCCCCTTAAATGGACGTGACTGCATGGTGATGCATGGCTTGGCTTCCACATACAATATTCCTTTTATATTAATATATATATATAACACAAAACGACAAAAGACGTGTATGAATCAATCATTAGTATAAATTATTTTAAGGCATTGTTTATTCAACACACTCTCATTTATTTGATACTATTTATTTTTAAAAAAATATCACATTAAATATATTTTTTTCTCACAAAACATCAAATCAAATATTAATTTTTTACTTTTTCGAAACTTTCAAAATTTCAAAAATCTCTAAAAATCT